GTGTCACAGGCTATAATTAACCCTGGGGCTGGCAGCCAAGGCAAATGGCATTAGCCCTGTGGCACAGCCAGCCACGATTCTGTTTGGACACAGGCTGGGGTATTCCTTGCAGGCAGGTCTGCACCCCCAAAGGGAGGGAGCCTTCGTCAGGACTGGGACCAGCAGGTTTGGCAGACCCTGGCAAAGCTCACACCCCTGCACCATGTCAGCACAGTTGGAGCACTGAACAGGAGAAATGACCCCTGGGAGCAGCACTAGCCATGCCTCAGCTGCGCTCAGGACACGTACAGCTGCCAACTCTGCTCCCCTCTCCCCTGACAGCCTCCATACTCAGCCTCTGGACTGCCAGGCATGGACATGCTGCTTCATTAGGATGAAGCAAGACTCCAGCTCCTCTGTTCTGGGAAAGCAGACCCTATCTGGGAGAAAGCTGGCTGTACCAAGCTGGGGTTTGGGCAGGAAGAAGAGAAATTTCCAAGCTGTCTCAGGGCATAGGGTTCTGATACACTCCTTTGACAATAGTTTTGGTCTGCTTCTCCAGGGCCCAGAGAAGCATCTCAGGTATGTAACACTGCTAGTAGCCCTTCTGTAGTCCTTGACATCCAAATAAGTGTGGTCTAAAGCATAAGAGCTTTAGCTTTGCTGAAGACAGCAAAGCAGTCCAGGACAAATTTGTAGAAATCCCCTCTGTCCATCATCAAAATGAGCCTCTTACCTGGCGAGATCTGCAAACCGTGCTGGAAATCCAACAAGGCCTCCTTGTGCCTCCCCAGCTCCAGGAACTGCATACCTCGCCCGATGAGAGCGAGCAACCTGATCTTCTGGAGCACCTCCACTTCTGGCAGGAGATCATCTGGCACAGAAAGACACACACACCTGGAGACAGCATCCTCCAGACATTCCCTCTCATGTCCCAGCAGGCTGAGCCAGGTTAGCAGTCAGGACATGCCAAACATGTACTTGGGCTGCACGTCTTCCAGCACTCTGAACCGTCAGTGGCACAGCTCAGCCTCTTCGCCAGGCTGGATGAGGCCGGGACGTGGCAGAGAGCAAGAGTGAAGAACGCCAAGAGCTTGGTACATTACACGGCTGTGGTGAACAGTGATCTCGGCAGCAGCCTGGCCTTTGGCTGCCCATCTGCACAACTGGTACAGATCTCTTCCCTGAAATCTGGATTGGAGATGCTTCCTGGTTCACAGCTCATGTAACTGTCACCTAGACAGTGGGGAGGGAGGCAGAACCAAGGCCAAACCCTGTTCCAACCAAATCAGCTGGTCCCTTCAGAGGCTCCAGTGTGGCACAGAGCTCACGCAAAGCTGGGCCCTGCACCTTGCTCCCTCCTGTACCCACCACTGCCAACCACACCAATCCTGACCCAGCTAGGCCCTGACAGGTCCCAGCTGTGCAGCGCCCTACCTGTTGGTTCAACGCCATACCCATAAAGCTGGACTCGCAAGATATCACCAAGGCACCTGTGGGTGGGAGGACAGAGGAGTTTTGGTACCACTCCTGGGCTGGGCAGCCAACTGCAAGTTGTCAGGTCAGGCCCTGCACTGTGCTGTGCCCTGCCGTGGCCCCCGCCAGCCATTGATGCCTGCTGAGGAGGCCCCTTCTCCCAGTGAGGCTTCCTCACCTGCTGAATTGCGTTACGGCCTCCTTGCTCTCACTCAGCTTGGCCCATGCCCAGCCCTGGTGCAGGTATCCAGCTGCTCTCCAGGCAAGGCAGCATAGACTCTCCTTCTGGGACAGAAGTCCACCCGCCAGCCCTGCCCCTGGCAATGGGCATTCCGCCTGCTCCAGCCTCTCCTCCGCTGGTAACATCCGTGGGATCAGGTCAGTCGTCCGGCTGATGACCTCGTCGCACATTGTTATGGCATCCTGGTGCCTCCCGGCCTGCTCCAAGGCAGACGCTGCTTCCAGGAACACCTCAGGGATCCTGGGCAGAGCTGAGCCACCATCTAGGGGCACCTGGGGAGCAAGAGTGATGGCAGTGCTCAGACACAGAACTGCACAGCTCCCAGCCAAGCAGAATGACTCTGCTTCCTGGGAACCCGGTGCTGCTGCCCAGCAAAGCTGAAACCCACTCCCACAGACACTAACAGCTCAGCAGAGTCAATGCAGCAAATCCCTACTCTTGAAGTGAAGGACATCCAAGCCCAGGCCAACAGCTACTCCCCACAGGGAAGGGGAAGCTGTTTCTCCAAACAGCAGTGGCAAGTGCTCTCTGGTGTGAATCCAAAAGCAGACACGCTACAAGTCAGAGGTATGAGCCTCCACCTCATTTCCTTCACATCTCAAACTAGACACTGAAACCTGGAGCCCAGGGGTGATGCCTGGACCCAGGCCTTGGGATGGGGATCCAAACTTCATCACCACCACCATCATCAAACACCCACCTGCTGCTGCAGCCCCTCCTGAAGCAGGGCCAGAAAATCCAGGTAATGCTCCACTGCATCAGCCACCCTGCAACAGGGACAGGACATGTGATGCAAGGAGCAGAGGAACCCCAAGAAGTGCCAGCAGCCAGGTGGAACCTGGATCACCAGCTCACAGGCTCTGCCTGCACCACACACTGGTCACGATACCCATGCTTTGAGCAGACCTACAATAGCAGTACTGAACTGGATGATTTCCAGGAGCACAGAGAAAACCACAGAGCTCAAACAAGCAGCATGTTGCAAGCAGACGTGAAGCATGAGGCACTGTTACCTCCCATCCTGGAGACACCGCTGTGCCAGCAGGTACTTCACTTCAGAGGGGTGGCGATGGCGAAGGAGAGAAGCTAGTAGTGGCGTGTGGACAAGAAGCTCAGTACGCATTAGGAAGAATGGACTAGAGGAAGCAGCTACTGGAGGGTTTTTTTCCAGAGCCTGTGAAACAGGAATAGAAAATATGGTCAATACAATGCTAGTGAAGTCCCCAGCAGCTGCAATCCCTTGCTACTTCTGGCATCTGGAGATACACCCAGACGAGCAGAAGTCCTGCACTTCATAAGCACAGCCACGCTTTCCTCACTTGCTACAGCACAGCCACTTCTAGGAAGAGCGACCAGGATCACAAAGGGACAGGCAAACTTCAGATCTCCACACGGCATCAGGAGATTTGCAAGATCACCCAGATCACCTCAAGTTTCCAGTTCAAGGTGCTCTGAGCTGCCTGGAACACCATCTCCCACTGCAGCTGCAGACCTAGTTAGACCAGATCTTGGGCCATTTGTAACAAGAGAGATCCCTCTCCACAGCTGTGTTTGTATCTTATGGATTTCAAACAGCTAAAGAGCTAATCCGGTGCTGTCTTTTAAAGACCTCTTTACTATTAGATACTTTATTAAAAGACTGGTGCTTTTTCTGACACAACAGGGTAACCTCTTCTCCCAAGCTACCAGGAACACGAACTGGGACCCAGAGGTCTTGCCACATCCAATGGCTAGGTGCTGGGCAGGAATTTTGGATCTCACTGGGCTCCTTCCTGCCCACTGCTGAAGGCAGCACCATAGCTGAACTGCTGTAGTGTACTTTGGAGAACCCTCCAGGGTCAAACAAACAGCCACCCAGAAGGCATGAGCCTGCTTGAAGCTCTGTGCAGGCTCTGCTCAGCAAAAATCAACCTAGAACTGCAGGAAGCAGACAAACCTCATAGAGCAGAGCCAAGGCCTGCAGCTCCGCATCGGTCTCCCCCAGCTTGTGGTACACTGCAGCCGCGTGGGACAGGGCAGGAAGGCACTGAAAGTCTACCTGGAGGGCCCGTTTCAGATGCTGAAGGGCTGTCTGAGGCTTGTCCTAGTTAGATGGGAAGAGGTGCATATTGCAAGGACATCTTGCAGACATCTTTACTGTTCAGTGGGATCCAGATCCCTCCTCTACTTCCCCAGCGATCCCTACTAAGCAAGGGCCAGCACTTTAGCCAAAGGCAGCCCTCCTCAGGCTGGGTTTTGAGCTTCCCTCTCTGCAGCAACGCTTTGCGCTCAGCCAGAATTCCCGCCTGGGGATTTTGCAGCTGTTCAAGGAGGCTGGCGCCGCAAAGGCAATTTCTGCTCAAGATCTCACCTTTCTGCAGCAGCCTAGGCCCATGTAGAGGCAGTGTGGACATCAGCCTAAGCCTCCCAACCCTGCTCCAGACTGCATTTCCCCTCTCCCCACTGACAGGCGAGGGTTTTTTCATTCGCTGAGCGCAGCAGCCGAGGCAGATGTAGATCTGGGCCAGGATCCTCTTGGAGCAGAATCCTCCCGCAGCCTCCTGAAGAAGGGAGAGGGCAGTGGGGAAGTTCCCAGCCTCCAGCTCCTGGAGCCCTAGGACACAGACCCAACATCTCAGCTCTGCAGCTCCTCTTCCCGCCCCACCTGGTCCCCAAACAAACATATATCCCCTTTTCTTCCTAGTGCCATAAGGACCTCCCTGATCCCCTCTGCACCCAGCAATGCACAGCAGGGTGGTGTGAAGCTGCCATCTTTGGTTTGCTTGTGTTGCAAGAGAACAAGCCACTCGATGGAAACGTCTAGCAGAAATAATAGCAGCTTCCAAGCCCAGATACCAAGATGCCTGCCTTGGCCCAAAACAAGGGCAGAGGTAGGTGCTGGGCAGATCCACCTGCGCATTCATCCACAGCAACGGTGGTGCAGATGGGGAAGCACACACAGAATCTCAGAAAACCTTTTTCCAGCACGTGGGCCATTTCCCAGCAGGATGCTTTGGGTCTTAATTCATGAATATTTATTGCAAATGGAATTTACTTTTCTTTCAATCTTCCCTCTGATGCTGCTCTCACATGTCTACATCACATTCATATCTGCCACCTCCCCACTGGAAATGCTGTCGCCACACTGGAGGCATGGGTGAGAGGTCTGTGGGCAGGATCTCCTGCCCTCCCCTCCTCGCAGAAAGGCCCCATGTCAGCCTGAACACAGGGAGGCAACGCTGGCTGCCCCTGGAGCTGCTGGGGTTGTCAAGACAGTGAGCAAGGGAAAACCATGAGCGGGACAGAACGAAGCAGTCAGATGAGATCAATCAGCCAGCTTTGCCTGGCTCCTGCAGCATCACAATCCAACAGGAACAATGTGCTTGCAATAAGGCAAGTGCCAGAAGACAGACAGAAGAAGAAAGGAAAATCCTCATAATCCCCCTGTCAGCCTTCCACTTTGTACAAGATCACCGCAGAGGCCAGACGCCTACCTAAGCCACAGACAGGCAGAACCACCCTGTCACAGTGCAGAGAAAGGCTTAGCTGGGGAAAAAGCAGAGAAGCTCTTTGGACATCAAATGGCAAAGTTGAGACCCAGAGGCTCCACTCAGGCTCGCTTCCAAAGGACCAGCCCAGAAAATGCCAAGGGCCGGTTTGCTTGGGAAGAGAAACCAAGATAAGGGCCAGGGGGGGTGGGTCCTGGAACAGAAGAGCAATGGAAGGCAGTGCAGACATGAGTACCTCTTCCACACAAACCTTGCAGGAAGGCTGCTGCGGTGCAGAGGATCTCTTTCAAGTCCTCGGTGCTCTGTACAAGGAGCAGAGAGGCCTCCTCAGCAGGTACTCGCCATGCCTTGAGGAGGGAGAGAAGTTCGTTCTCCCCACTGCTGCAGTGAGCTCTTCCTGGGTCCTACAAATACGCAGAGGAGAGAGAGCAGGGAATGCTGAAGGGAAGCAGGAAACACTGATTCCAAAGCACAGGGAAACAGAGGCCCCACCAAACCCTTTGACAGTGCTCTCTGCGCTGGGGAATCTCCTACCACCACCTCACTTCAACTACAAGTCCCTCGCTGCAGTGATTCCTGCCTGGCTTGGGGCAGCAGCTCCCCACCTCAAAGCAAGATGCACCTTGAGAGGCTCCTGGCAAGGCAGATCCAAGTGCTGTTGGAGGGTGTTCGAAAAGGTGGGGCCCCTCAGCAGCCTCACAATCAACTGGGAATGTTCCTCTGCAACCCACTGCTCACAGCTTGCTCCCTACAGCGGCTGCAAGTCCATCTGCAGCTCCCTTCCAGCCTGCCCAAGGCTCCTGTCTCGCACCTTGAGGTCCAGGGCCCCAACAGGCAGGAGATATTCTGAGACTCACTAATGCACTCAGGGCCATTAGGCTACACTTGGATGCCAGGGAGAAGATTACTCACACTGACTGGGCAGCGCTGATGGGTTCAGGTCTCCAGGTGCCACAGCAGCATTTTGCAGAGTGGCGTTTATGACAAACATGGTATTTATGCTAGCTCTGCCTCCTTTAGCAAACCTGTGAGTATTTATATCTGCACACATGCTCTGGTGCAGGTAACTGGGACCTGTGCAGCCTCTGCCCGTGCCTGGTTACCTCAGCATTGCTCAGGAGCCGGAACAGGCCAGCGATGCTTGCCAGGCGGCTGGCTGCCAGCCACCACGCTGCTTGCAAGGCCCCCAGTCGGTGCAAAGGTGCCTGCAGCTCCTCTGCGGTTACCTCCTGCAGCACCTTCTGCCACAGCTCCTCGGTACTAAGATCCTGCCCGCAGGCCCCACAAGCCTCCAGAACTGAAAAAACAAATAAAACCCCAGCCATGAGACAACATGTGGGTGCCCTGTAACAGACACCCTCCCAAAAGGGAGGGAAAGCTGCTAGCAAGCACAGGCTCCTTGTAGCGAGGGAAGGAATGGAGTTACAGGGCTGGCCTAGCTTCAGCAGCATGGAAACCAGGCTCTAGGACAGCAGAGTTAACAGTAGCATGCTTAGGAGACAACACATGGTTCAGAGCTATGACTCCAAGTCCTCCTGAGGTCACTTATCCCCAAGCAAGCATGTGCCAACACTGCCGATCCCCTTCTGACCTGCAGCCTATTTCAGTGAGTTTTCTTTGAAGCCAGCACACCATAATTAAAAAAAAACCCACTTGTTTTCTACTGTTGCTAAAACTTTGCTAGAAACTTGGCACGTTACACCTTGAAAACTCTCATTTCCCATAAAACCTCTGGCCCATCCCTGCAGGCTGCAGCAGGCACACAGATGGGCAGCTGCACATCGTTCCTAGTCACAAGCCACCCTACTTCCCACTTCCCAGCAGAGCCAGGCTTCCCTGCTCACAGCCCCCCCCCCCACCTCTGACCAGTCACCGCATATCTCCGAAGCACAGAGAATGCTGTGCTTGCTCCAAGGAGGCCCTCTACAAGGAATGATCTCCTTACCCCTGAGGAGCCCCTGGCGTATTTCTTCTGCTTCTCCTTTGATGGCAGAGTCAGATGATCCCATAGTGAAAAGCAGGGAGTTGTAGAGGACAGTAAGCTCCAGAGGCAGGGTGAGGAGGGCAGCTGGCAGCCCTATGATCACAGCCAACCCAACAAGAAATTGAGCTGGCTAGGAAAAACACAAGAACCATCCACGCTAAGGTGTCATCACCTGGTTTTGTGATAACAGAAGTGTCCTGGCAAGTATTTTTTTTTTTTTTTGTGAGATTTAACAGCTTGGGAACTGCAATGCCTAGATAGACAGCAGGTGTCACCTCTCCAGGTTCCGATACTGCTTTAGACATCCATTCTCCAGCTATCCAAGTGCCGCAGTCCTCCAGGACTGAGACCTTTCAGCTCTCCCAAAAGAGCATCAATAGCCTACCCTCTTCCAACACACGTCCACCTTTTTACACAAGTTTCCCACGCTGTGTCTCTCCCTGTTCCTCACATCAGGCTTCCTCTATACCACAGTTGTGGCAGGGAACCCCTTCCCCAGCTTCCCAGGACAAAGGTTGCCTCATTTTTTCCAGAAATCCCAAAGCTCTGCCCACATCCCCCAGCAAGATTAGGAAGAGTTCGGGGCGGGGCCTTAATCCCTTTGCAAGCCCAGTTCAGTTTAGGGCAGTGGGGGACGTTTCACCCCCCTCCCTTCAGAAGTTTGTTTCCAGCACCGAGATATCGGACTTGCAGCCCGGTAAATGCCAGTGTCAGGGAACCGGTGCTTCCACACTCACAGGCTTTGGGTCTGGGACGGCAGCGGGAGTTGGGGTGAAG